ATTCTTGACCTTCATCAAGGCAGTCCTAGAAGAGCGTTAAGCCAGCTGCATGTTGCTCAACATTTATGGAAGCTCTGCAAAATCCACCCATCCTGACATAGGTCCTTGTCTAGTCCGAACCTCGAGGTACACTTATGCGACAATCTAATATTGCCGCGAAATAAGAACATTTCACTTCTGAACAAGCACAAACCTTGCATAAGCAAAGGATCGCAGCAGAACCGTTCGGGTGTACCGGGCAACACCTACGGAAGACGGGGTCTCAGGAAGAATATCGGTTCAATTACTGCTACAGTATACCGGCAAAACCGGATCCTTGTTGTCCTGTTTGCCGGATGTGTATCCCGAGTCCCGCGGTAGAAGGCTTGCGAAGCTCAGCTCAGCATCTGCAGGGCTGCTGTAACGTCATCTGGTACGAACGCCTGCTTTGTGTTTCTGTCCGTCCATGTCTTTTTGAACCTGCTATAATGTTGCGGTCTTCTTTCCGGGTTTACTTCTATTGAAACACGACACTACAATCCGGTGCTTTCTCAGCTAGGGACTGTGTCCACTGGATTTGATCGAGATTCAGTCGTTTCCCTTCCTCGACCTAGAATCTCTATTTCACTCGTCGCTACAAGAAGCGTTGATTAACGGCTGGGTAATGCCCTGGGAGGATCTTTTTCAGGCCGTATACAGACAAACCCAGCCTTGAGCTCTCGCTTACAGACTGCGAAACCGAACATCAGCTATAAGTCGGCTCTCTCTGGCCCGACATCTTCTCTAAGTCCCATCACACGGGCTAGTTTCAGTCGCTTTCACACAAGTCACTTTGTTCTTCGTTTGGGAAATGAATATTAGCAGTAGGGACATAATCAGGATTGTTGCCCCGTCACCGTTCTGCATTTCTATGAACGATATGGGATAAGGCTTATACTTTCCAGATTGAAGGCAAACATAGTGCCATTATCGACAGCAGCGGACCAGTCACGATCCCTAAAAGGCTTCAGAAAGTGTTGTTTTGTTGAGACACACATTTTGTGTTTCTGTCTACATATATACTACCAACCGCTATCAATTGACACGGATGCTTGCGGTCTTCCACACCTGTTCAAGCCAATTTGTCCAGCAGGTTCGAACCCAGTGAGTGGCCCATTATCTCCAACATCTATTTGCCGCAACTCAAGCCCGAAAGACTTCTCTATCGTATAACAACCCTGTCCGGATGTGCGGGGTTTCCTTTTCATCATCGGGAAGTGGCGGAGTCTCGGCGCTGATAACGAAAAACTTGTATCTACCCCTCCCATCGAATCCTTGAAGGCGTGGAAGCTTCTGGCCCTTCCATTGTGAGGTTCAGTTTGCCCTACCCCTCCTCTAGAAAAAACCACTGCGTACTGCTGCAGGTGCTAGGTAAGTCTATTCCTGAATCGAAAGGCCTAGGATGAAGGGGTTCAATGCCCTCGGCTTGGGACTTGAGGAATTGCTCGTTCTAAAGAGGGCCTAGAGCGTCGACTGACCTAGTGACAAGACAGACTTGAGAAATTTTCAGCATTGGACTCCCAGTGCTGAGGCAAATGGTCGTACTATACATCCTAATTTGGACCAACCGCACTGATTCTGTCATTGATGGCATCGAGCAGACTTTCGCAACGCCAGCGCGTTATCCGCACGCTTCTTCGCCACTTCACGGCAGCACGAAATCGACACACGAGCTGGTGCAATGATGATGACTGAAGACTCGGACTAGAGCGGGGTCAAATGCAGCCGAGCAAAGCTCTGCTCGAGCTGGTCATGGAAGCCAAACACCGACCCTCGTGCTGGATAGCCGTCCTTCCCGAGTTACTCCCGAGACTCTCAGACCGGCCTTCGATGGCACCATTTGAGAGCTGTTAAGCCCCTTAGTCATTGTACTCCGGAGTACGTCCTTGCCAAGCACCTCGCCCGTCTCCTCAGTCACTGTGCGTAGTTACTGCGTAGTGTAACAGAAACGGCGGTGACAATGACCCCCTTTTCTTCACGGGGGCCGCATCCTAAGCTCAGCGATTGTTCTTGGTGGTGCTTGAATGCGGCTATGGTCCGTGCATTGGACGAATGTCTCATCCGACTCCTGATTCTATGGTCTTGGCTGATTGAGGCTATTCGAGATGTCACGGGCGGCCACGAGGGCGACAAATACACTATTTTGTGGGCGTGGATAAATTCGAGGCTCTCAGCATCCGAAGGATTTTATCGGTGTGACGGTTGCTGCAAGTCAGGCAGTAGCTCCAGATTACAAATCTACGGAACATGGTGCTTTGTTGTTGTGTTGCTGTTGTTGTTGTTGTTGTGCGTTGGAGCGGACCCCAACCCAAAGGATCCCCGGTTAATTTAATTGCACACTGCAAGGGGAAAGCAGACGGCTTCCTTTGCCTCAGGAACGGGTGGAGAGAGAGTGGGTGGGAAAGTGGGTGGGTGAGTGGGTGAGTGGATGCCTTAGACGCTTCTAGTGTCGGCCTAGCGCCCACTAATCAGTCATCACGCCCTCCTCCCCTTTTTCCCTTCACCTCTAAGGCTCAGCTCCAATCCTCTTCCACCCACAAAGAAACGGAGGCAAATCAAAGCCAAAGAGAAAACAAAACGCGTTCCTCATCCTCGCAACAGACAAAGCCTCATGTCGCACAAACACATGAAACAAAACACGAACGCAAGGGAAGAGGGGTAGAGAAAGCCCATTGCAGAATGAAAGAGAAAATCAAATTAGACTGGGGAACCATCCGGGCGAATCCGAATTGATCCAGGGGTTCGGACTCAATCAAGGGTCAGCATTGAGCAAAAAACGAGTCAAAACCAGTGAGACTAGCTTCGCGACCATCAAACCCTGTCTGGTAAGACCGCCAGACCCCTCTTCCATGGATACGGATCCAACTATCTCGTCATTGGGCTGACACCCTCAGGAACCAAAGCTAATACGGGGCCTGGTCGGGTTAGTGACCTCGCTAGAGCCCACATCCAGTCGTCCTTATACTCGACCGGGATAAGCCTGCATGCGAAAAAATCCAGAGGCGAGAAAGGAGTCGGGCTCTCATCCACCGCAACCCAGACCACGACCGCCAATGCAGTACGTACAGTACTGTCCCGGTGCCACCGGATGTGCTGGCGGAGCTTCGTGGCGCCGTGAATTTGTTTCTCGGCAGGCGCCGTGTAGACGACTCGACGTGAGTAATGTCCCCGGGGCATTCTTGACGGCCCCAGGGCCAATCGACTTGGCTCAAAGCGCCCCTTGCGACTCGCCGAGGAATTTTCCCGACCCATCGCTCGTGTTGTGGGCTTGCGGTGCCTCTGGCTGTGACGGGCTCGAGACCGATGGCCTCGAACCTTGAACTTTCCTAGGGGCTCTTTTTGGGTTCTTATTTAGGGTCCGGGTCCGCCTCGCTCACGGCCGTCCCTTTTTCTTTCCTGCTACCCCGGCGCGTCGCATAAAACATCGATTTGTTTCACACTCGTTCGGCTTCGAGCAGCGCTCCCCCTACGGAAACTCTTCTCCACCCGGCATTGTCACTCAGACGCTCACTCATTCGCGTCTTTGTCCGTCGCCTGTCACATTCCTTTGACTCGGTAGCTGCGCTCGCCTCATTGCCAATTCGCGTATATATCTTGTCCGACCCCGGCACTCGATCATTTTCAGCCATACACAATCCTCTATACATTCCAAGCCATCAAAATGAAGATCAGCGCTATTGCCTCTTCCCTGCTCTGCCTGGCGGCTGCCCAGCTTGTCGCCGCTGACGCCGACACCACCTCCACCTCGACGGTGACTACTTTCCTCACTCGGACGCTGGTTCACGTCGACACCGTGACCTCCTCGAGCGCGTCTACCACGTCCGCACCTCTGATTCCCACCCACGCGCCCAGCGCTCCTAGCAGCTCGGTGGCTGTCAGCTCCTCTGCCGTCCCGACTTCGCTTGTCGTCGCTCCTTCGGCCAGTGCCTCAGCCACCGCGTCTTCCGTTTTCACCGGCGCCGGCAACGTCAACACCGCTGGCATGCCTGTTGCGCTTGTCGCCGGATCTCTGGCTCTGATCATGGGCGCTCTGTGAGCAGAAGTCAGCAGAGTTAACAATCGCCGGCTCCGAGGCCCAGGGTACACATCATGACCACCAGACTCTTTTATCACTTTTCGAACTGTTCCTATTTCTTCTTTTTCGTCGCTTATACTTAATTTCTCTTCGTTCGACCTCAGGTTCGCTGATCGCGATCAGGGAACCGGATGGGACGCTCGGTTATGGACCCATATACCCCTTTATGACGTTTCAGATATGACGAGTTGATGGATTTGACGGCTGGTGGTGACCAGCGCAAGTATCTCTCCGGGGAATTCCGTTTATACACCTAGTTACTTTCTTACTTTCTTGGGGTTTCGCTGTGAGCTTGGAAGCTGTGCACATATGTAGTGGTGAAACCAATGTATAGTGGCCGCCCCAATTGACTATTTTTGTTAAGCCGCAGAGATAGACATAAATTTAAAATAGAATCCGAGTCAGACAGAGTGAATCCAGAAATAGCTATCCAGTATTGTAGATAGCAAGACTGTCCCAGAAAAGGGTGTGTTATCAATCTCGCACTCCCTCCGTAGTCCGTCCGCACTTCTCGCCCCGCTTTGAACCAGCGCGACGCGTCTCCAACAACAACACAAAAAAAAAAAAAAGAGAGAACCCCCTCCATTCTTCAACTCAATCGCAAACAAACATTCTCATTCCTCAAGCATTTCTTGAACGACTGACAGCTCTGACATGCAGGGCCAGCGTCAAGAAAGGCTAGTGTAATCCCTCCCCTTAGCGCCTCCCCAGCTTGATCGACATTCTCTCGGACGTCATTCTACCCGACGTGTGCGAGGTGATCTGATCTGATCTGATCCGATTTCCCGATCGCTTGCCTGCTGCCAACTCCGACTCGGAGGAAAGGGCGTGGTTTGTGTTTCGTTTTCATCACTACAACCCTTCCTCGACCACATCATCTCAATTCGACCAGATAAAAGCCAGGAAAATGGACCCAACCCTCGATCCCCCACTCCCACCACCCCCGCGTCGCATCCACCACCGCGCCTCGCCAACCCGCCGCCGCGATCATTACCAAAACAACCACAATCACCACTACCGCCTCACCGCCACCGCCACCGCGCGCTCCCGCTGCGACGACCGCTCCAGCCAACCCTCCAGCGACCCGGCCTTCTTCTCCAGCGACGATGTCCCCGGCTCCGGCGGCTTGGAGAACTACACCGCCGGCTCTGCTGCAGGTGTAGGCGCTGCCGCAGCTACCCACACAGCACACCAGCCTCACCAGCATGCTTCCGGAGCCGGGGGCTTAGCGGGCACTCGGAAGCGCCGGTATCGCGGGACGTGGTGGGGGGAGAAGATGATGTCGTCGGGCGGGCATCAACCGCAAGGTCAGGAAGGGGCTAAGCGCAACAAGAGGGTGGATTGGAGGGAGAAGAGGTTGGTCGATAGTGGGGTTTGGATGGGGAGTGATGATTCCCTGGCCGGGGGGTTTTTGGGCTCCGATGCGTCGTGGGGGGAGGAGGTTTGGGGGCAATTTGTTGGGGAGGGGGA